GTAGTAGTGGTAGTAGTGGTAGTAGTGGTAGTAGTGGTAGTAGTGGTAGTAGTGGTAGTAGTAGTAAGTAGTAAGTAGTAAGTAGTAAGTAGTAAGTAGTAGGTAGTAGGTAAGAGGTAGTTGGTAGTAGGTAGTAGGTAGTAGCAGTAGTAGTAGTAGCAGCAGCAGCAGTAGTAGTAGTAGTCGACGGCAGGTATATTTACATGGGAATGGCTCATTGACCTGAGCAGGAATTCTGATCTTTTTCCACGCACGGTCATCATAAGTCTCGATGATAACAAAGGATGTACGAAGCTGTCGGGGCGCAAAATAGGTCTTCAAGCCTCTTCGACCCGATATAATGTCCGGTGTAACCCTGGGAAAACCAGAAGCCCTGAAAGACCTATATAATGTCCGCAAGGCGGAGTGAGCTAGTAATTTTTTGGACGAAATAACTTCGGGAGCACGACTGACACTTAAGAGAATCAGCTGGCGTAGCAAGCAAAGGGCATTAGGAGAAGTAGGGCGCTGGGCAATAAAATAGAGCGTGGTGGACCTTTACAAAAATGCCGTTCTCGTGGGAGTTTGGAGGACAGGTCCGCGCTTGGATGTTGCTGTGTGCAGTTGGTTGTGTCTGGGCGTTCTTGATATTTGTTTCTCTAACTTTCAGCGGTCTTTGTCGGGGTTGGCTTGCAACTCACTGGCTGACTTGAGTAAGCGATCTCGGCAGCACGCGCCGCCACTGCCTACTGAATTATGACGACGCCAATGCACACACCTCACTCGCGCGCTCAAAAAATAACTCCCTTGCCCGCTCTGGCGCCTGCCTCCTTTGTGAGCCACAGGCGTGCTACCTTAGCGAGTGGCTCCTTCCTCCTCTAAATTTGGTTCTCGGGCGGCTCACAAAAGGACTGACGCCTTCCTCCTCCAAGTTTTGCCCTCGGAAGGCTTACCTTGGAATGGCCGCTTCCCTCCTCCAGGTGGCTCACAAAAAGGTCTGCTACCTTCGAATGGCTCCTAGCTCTCACCTGAATATTGCCTATAATGCGTCCTGCAAGCAGTTCATGTAAGCACTGCTCTACTTCAATGTCTACTTCAATTTATTTCGCTCTTTGTGTCTTTCGTTCTTTCTTTCTTGCTTTCTTTCTTTCTGTATTTCTTTCTTTCTTTCTGTCTTTCTTTCTTTTTTTTCTTTCCTTCCTTCCTTCCTTCTCTCTTTCTTTCTGTATTTCTGTATTTCTTTTCTCTCTTCTCTATTGCTTCTTTTTATCCCTGCTTGTTGTTGTCTTGATCTCTACTTATTTTTTTATTGATCCCTATTTGTTTTGTTATTGATCCCTCCCTAAGAATCGGGAACGTCAGGGGGACGTCGGAGGTAGGTGGGGACGTCGCAAAAATCTGGCGAGGTCCCAGTCTGGGGCGGACCCTCGGCGAACCCTCAGATTGGACCTCTGACAGTGCCTTTGGATGTATAGCCTGGGCTCAAAGAGTCAACATCAGTCAACAGATCCCACACGTCCCTAACTCACCCTGCACAGACACATAAAACACTTGTTTTTTCCACATGAACGCTCAAGACTTCAAGTTCTGCAGCTCCAAATAGACCAGTGCAAGATAGCGTTGCAACGTCCGCTGGCTGACCGTCAACCTGTGACAAACACGGGCTATACGGGCCACACGCCCAACAAAATCTTCTCCGGCAAACAGTGCCCAGGCTCGAGGATTCACTCTCTCAGTGAGCACTCGATGGGCTGCATGGAAAAGGTGGTGGTGCTTTGGCATTATGAGCCACATGTTTCGGCCAACAGCTTTTCCAACCAAGAGTCGGGATCTCTTGTTGAGTAGTGCATGAGTCTGCAAGTGCCTCATCATGAGGTTGTAGAACCTCGTGGCGCGCTCCTCGCTCATCAACAGCTCTGTCTCATCCATGAGGAGCAAGGCCAGGGCATAGCTGTGAACAGTTGTGCATACAAGTTGGTCTTGCTCCGTGGCATCGGCCCGTGCAGCAAACTCACATGTTCTCTCCGCCAACCACATTGTGCAAGCCTTTGAAGCTGCCGCCTTGTTGTTTAGCGCTGGATACTGCTGCCGGTTTTTACGCCCACAACGAGCTGGCGTAAATCTCGATTGAGAAGTCTGAATCTTCCGCCCTTTTTTCCAAAAAATAAAGTCTCGGTGCGCAGCTCTCAAACAGGTCTCCAAACAATCATCGTATTTCCCTGCTCCGCGGCCAGTTGGGAAAGCGCCCCAGTAGCCAGATTCAGCAAGGTATATCAATGCACTGCCGTTGCAGACCTTGCCAGTCCCCAAAAGTTGACTGTGCATACAGTCATGCAGTACACGGTCCCGTGTGGCAAGCTCAAAGATGCAAGGGTCCATAGCATAGAACTCATCCAAGTTTGGCTCTGTTCCAACATGAGAAGCTCCTGGCCTGAAATCTGCAATGGTCATACTCAAGTCATCAGCTGTCTTCAAGGCACCGCATGTGCTACAACATGCATTGGCTCTAAAATTGTGCAGCCCGTACTTCTCGTGGACCCATTTCAAGTCCCCTTGCAATGACGAGAACATGTAGCAGTAGCCTTTGTCGCTCCATCCAAACAAATGCTCCTTCGAACACATGGCCTTCAAGCGGTCTGTGAGACACCGCATTATATCTTCATGTGTGTTTTCCTTGGGTTGAGAAGTCACATGCCCATAGCAAAAACACTCAAACACACCACCAGCATAGGCGGCATAGGTGACAAATACAAAAGCAACATAACAAAAACTGCACATCAAAAACAGCAAAGTGTCCGTGCTGCAGTGTTCCGAATACACACAGATCGGCCAATATCGAAGGCAAGACTTGTTGAGATAACCAAAATCACTTGTCCAGGCAATGATGGAAACTGCACCTATATCGGAATTCCTATAGGTGTTGACATCGTCGCCGTATAGTGAAAGTGGTATCAGTTTATCCTTGCATTCGTACGAGAACATGCTGTGGTTCTTGAACCAATCGCAGTGCGTGGCACAGTGACTCCAAAACTTAGTAGCATCAACATCGCCAAACATGCACTTGCGAAAAATGTCTTCGCCCTGTGCGTAAATAGCTTCTGCAAGGTCATCGGGGTAGAGGATCGACAGCCACTGCCATTCCTCCCGGCCAGCAGCATGGTTGTACATCCTAGCAGTCAACTCTGTGTTAGAGCTACGCAAAAAACGGACTGGGAACAGCACTACCCAACCTGATTTGTGACCACACAGTCTGTTGACAACGTTGTGTGGTTGTGTGAGGTGCGTTGCAAGCCAACCTCCCAAAAATAAGATGTTGGCCATGTCAAGTAGTACTATATACATGTTACATGTTTGAATCACACTGAAGTCCTGACTCGAATATCCGAAATTTTGGCATGGAGCCGGAGACCAAATGTATTCAGCATCGTATGCATGTCCCGCTCACAATTGGCCAGATACTTGCCATGACTTCCAAGCCCAGCAATCCGACGCACCACATCAGAGGGCTCCACGCGTCCCCCAGCGTTTTCACACCACTTCAAAGCAGATGCCGCTGTTTTTTGTACCTTGTGGAGCAGGTTGTCTCTTCTAATCATGGCAGGTATAAGGTGTTTTCCACCAAAAAAAGGATATGGTATAGCCAAAAGGCATCCGTCCAAAACAAAAGCTTGTGAAGGGCCATTGGAAACAAACCCCTGTTCTGCAGGTAGGCTGCTTCAGCACCACTAGATCGTCCAGTTGCAAAATTGTTCACGAGCAAATCCGAAAATTCAGGAATAGAAGGGGTATTCTTTTCTGCAGCCTCTTTGGCAGCTATGACGTGCTTCGCATTGAATGGCGGCAGCTTTGGCCGGGATGGTTGGGACTCCTGGATGCGCATGACTCCGGGATGGGATGGATAGACTTCGGAGGGTCAACAATCTTTGAGACTATGTGAATGTTGCAATCAATAAAAGAAACAAGTTGCAACATAGTTGTCTCCTTAGCCCTAGCATTGTGCACTTGAGCTCGCTTGTCGAAACCATGTCCTGCAAACACAACTTTCCATACAGGTCCATCATGGTCCAACACACTTTAAACTGCTAGATCCACAATTTGGTACAGTCAGATGGGAACTCGTTTTCTTTTCCGCTCGTCCCCTAAAGATCCCATGAGCGTGTTCCATTCACGCTCAACCCCAATCAACCTCTGGTTGAAGCAGAAACATTCGAAACATTGCATCACTTCTCAAGCTTTGAGGAAAACTTGAGCATACCGTACCTTGAAACGCTACATGCAGGCCTTTTCTTTGGGCATACGAAACCCAAAGGCCATTCAGGGCAAATCACTTTGGCTGTGACTTGCCACGAACACGGCGAGCAGGTGCCACCTTCGCCTGCGAGCACGGGTCCGGTCTCCCAAACAACAGCAGCCGGGGCTATTGCTCAGAAATCAGGTTTTTGTGAAGGGGTGGTTGTTTGATAATATGCATGTGTTGGTGTTGACACTGCACAAGTGGGTAGAAGAACGAGTCATGGTGGGGGCTTATCAAAAGCAAATATGCAATCCCGTCTTGATATCAACTCTAAGTAAGCAGGCCTTCGCTTTGGATTTTGTCTTCGGCTTTGGGGCTGCATTCTTCTTAGTGATACCGCTTGCCGTCTCCTTGTCCTGGGGACGATCTCGGAATCCAAACTGCCCCAAAACTAGTAGCACTCAATGGAAGCAACGCAATAGGTTGATATGGGTATGACTATGGGGTTTGCCAAGCAATATCTTGATGGGGTTGATTGAAAGCTTCAAGCACCAAACCCTCCTCCGTATACATTGCCATCCGCTGCAATGCCAAGTCATTTGCAGCTTGCAGATGCTCCATGTTCACCGTCACAGGGTCCTGCAACGGTAACCGCTGACTTAGGCTTCGAAGATGGCTTGGATCACAGTTCGTTTTCACTGCTCTGGCCTTGGGTGTTTCGGTGTACCATGCAGTGTACCATCAACAATGAAAAGGGTCCTTGACGGCATAGTTTTGAAGCTGGAAGTAAGATTTCTCCAGTTCTTCAGCATGTGCCATCATTTGTTTGCCTTATATATGCACACAGTGTTCATGCAACACTAACATGAAAGAGTATAGCCAATCGTATCCACACACGTTCAGCAATTGGTAATTAGCTAAAGGACTGAGAGCGTCTTGGTGCTTGATGTTCCTAAGCTTTACAGGCCACATCTTTGCCTCTTGGAGCTGCAATGTGATCTTTGGTAGGATCCACATAGCTTGAGGGAGCACCTCCTCAGGCATCTCATTCCTTAAAGCACACATATATACATAGTATGTGCAACCACACGCAATAATGTATATGCATTTTGCAATGCACACATGCTGCTCAAGTATTGTTTGACAAACTGAGTTTCTTCTTGCGTTTCCTCGGCTGGTCATCGGTCTCACGGTTCCCGGGTTCGGCGTTCTCGACAGACTCTTCTACTTCTCGTGCATCGCGACCAGCAATCTGTGCCTCCACTGCTTGCAGGGCAGCGATGGGGCTCTCAGGGACAAGGTCCGAAGAACTTCCAGGGCAGTTGCTCGTATTCCGACTCTTGAGCTGCATAATTCGCGGCATCGTCGAGGTGTTGTGCAACAGATGCGCAGTGAGATCAGGATTTCCAAGCTGCTGGGCCGCCTCGTGCACAGTGTACTTATATCATTGCAAACAGAATCAGCTAGTCATGTATATTCCTATAGACGACATCAGCTCAAGAACCTGGTGTGTGCCCATGTGTGTGTGTGTGCATAACTGCAATGCACCGGCCTCACTGCCCATGTTGGCTGACATGTCCATCGATGCCTCAATCCTCTCTGCTGTCTCATCCTCATGGACTGTATCAATGTCCACCATGACATAGTAGAGGATGGCTGCATCATCGTCCGGACAGTCAGGATGTTCCTTGTACTCATTCATTGACAGTTTCCTGTCTATGATTTGCTCCACGATGTTCTTGTTTCCGTTGTAAAGAGCCATGAGCTGGTCACGTGTGCGCCAACCTGGGCATACGTGCATTCGTGCGCAACAAAAGCATGTGTGTGTGATGGGAAGACATTCACATGCTGCTCAAATATTGTCTTGTTTAACAAACTGAGTGTCTTCTTGTGTTTCCTTGGCTTGTCATCGTTTGCATTGCCCGGATCGGCGAGATTGATCTTGAGGCCGTCACCATACCTGCGCTTGCCGGTTTGCCGTTCAGTCCGGCTCCGAGTCTGCCGGATTCGCAGCCTTAGGGCGCCCCAGAAATGATTTAACAAACGCGTGGGAGTCTTAAGTGTGTCAACCCCCAAAGGGTCTACATGCTAGCTAAGTAGCTGCCCCCAGTTCTTTCCAGACTTGAGAAAAGCATTGAACAAATGAGTCTTTGCATGCTTGCTCTTGGATTGCACTGCAGCTTTCCAAGCTTGCACAATGTCATCAGGAATCCCGAACTCACCTTCCGGGTCATCTGAATTCAATTGCCTGCGTGGACAAAATACTCACAAGAGTTACATTATATATATCGTAAAGTTGGGTTGGGAACTGTTGAACTGTTGCTGCTCTCACGCCTCTTCATTTTGGCATAGTGCTTCTGGCGATCGTTGTAGTCTTCAGGAATCACAGGCGCAGCCTGAGATACCATGACCATGTCAACCCGTCTATGTGGAAGTAGAAGTTCAATTTGTTTGGTTCATTCACGCATGCAGCTAAAAAACGTTCCCACCAACTACAATGTTCATGGCTGGTGGGGCGGTGCCAACATTCTTGGAAGTCTTTGAAGCCGTGTGAGGGTTTGCAGGCTCCTTAGCAATGACAGGCTCCTTAAAGCTGACTTTGGGTGCACGAAGGATGGACTTTGGCACAGCCTCAGGCTTTGGAGGAGCGGCTGCAACCGGTGGAGCTGCTTGTGGATCCTTTGGTGCAGGAGCGGGAGCAGCCTGTGCTGTCTTGAGCTCCTCTTGATGCAACCAGAAGGAAAAAGCCACCAGTTCTTCCATGTCATCATAGTCACCAAAAACATATTCTTTCAGCTCTTCACCAGTCAAGCCCAAGCTGTTTTTGATGTAGCTTCCCAATAATGGACTACCCCGGGCATCTCTCATGGCCTTTTTGAACTCTTTGTCATCCATCTTCATGATCCGTGATCGAATCATGGCTTCTGCCTTGAGTTCTTCTTCGGACACCATGCTGGCTGGCGGTGGGGTAGGTGCATTCAAGGGAGGGCTGCCAGATTCAGCCTGGTGACACGGCTCCTGATGTTGCTGGTGATCTTCATTCTGCACTGGTTCAGGTGCCGTTGCACTGGTCAAAAGCTTTTCAATTTCTCCTTGGAACTGGTGCTCATCAAAGTCTGGCAGAGTGGGTGCCACTTGTTGTGATTCATCATCAGTCAAGTCCAAGTCGATGACGACACTTGGCTGTGCCAGCACTGGTCTCGGAGGTGGCTGCTGTGCTTCAACTGTACTGATGTTTGCTGGAGACCTAGGAGTTGCTGGAAGGTTATGGCTCGGGTGCACTTGGTTTGCCTCGCTAGGTGGTGGCATTGGGCTTGGTGTGACTGCAGCTGGCAGCACTGGGTTTGCCTTGCCCGGTGATGCCTCTGGGTGTCGTTCGGCTACAGCGTGCTTCACCGTTGCCACTGGAAAGGTCTCACTTGGAGGCAATGGCGTTGCCTTGCTTGGTGATGGCTCTGGGCTTGGTGTGGCTGCACCTGGTGGCCCTGGGTTTGCCTTGCTAGGTGGTGCCGTTGGCCCTGGTTGAACAACAGTGTGCTTCACCGTTGCCACTGGAAAGGTCTCACTTGGAGGCAATGGCTTTGCCTGGCTTGGTGATGGCTGTGGCCCCGGGTTGCCTTGCTAGGTGGTGCCGTTGGGCTTGGTTCAACCATAGTGTGCTTTGCCTGTGCCGTGGAGCCCTCACTCTTGCAAGGTGCTTTGGGTAGTGAGGCTGGTGGCTTGGGAGGCGGTGCCTTGACATTGCCAAAAGCTTGACTGGCAACATGAACTGGTGTAATGGGGGTTGCTTTTGGCGGGGGTGCACATGGTGCCATGGCCCGAGGAGGCACTGCGCTTGGGGTTGCTCGTTCGGGATCCATCTTGGCTGATGGCTTTGGCGCAGAGACTTCACGAAGCCTTGCAGCAAGGCATGCGGCCACAGGCGGTTGAAGTTCTGTCTTCACTGCCACATGCGGGCAAGCTTTGGCTGGTTGTTTGGGAGGGGTAGGTGTAAACACCGGCGTGAAAGCACACTTGCTTTCCGGGGTGCGGAGCACGGGCGCCCCCCCCCCTTGACTGCCGAACTCTTCGCAGGAGACGATGGCTTTGCCTTCTTCCAGGCCTGGCTGGGCAGGATCAGCTCCCGTTTGATTCCACTCATGTCAGCATCGGACATTGCAAACACCGATGGTGCACTGTATGGAGTCCCCGCATCAGCTGAGACAGACCTCATTTTTGATTGCACGTGGATGTGCGACAGTAAAGTTCTATATATCGCACATATATGAATGATTTCTACAGTGACCTTGCAAGGGTTGTCATGGTACGTAACTGCATCCAGCCACATAAAAGACATCTGCGAGTCATCAGCTGGGTTCACATCCAGGTTGTTTGGCCATGTGATTGGAGTCACCTGCACAGGTTTATCGCTGGCCGTCTTTGGTAAACAAGTTGCCCTGGGCCTCAGTCAGCTGGGAGTCTGTCGCGGGCACTGTATCCTCCCAAGAGATTGAAGCCTGCGTGCAAAACAAAACCCAAGTTTGAGAGGACATCCCTTTTGAATACAACTCCAGCATTGGTTCACGATTACTTTTAAATGTTCTATAGATCGACGATGCAAGCCTCAGAAGGTGTAGACAGCACCGGCGAACCATAAGAGCATTTGG